ATGTTATATTCAGAATGCTTAGGAAATTACATATTTTGGAGACTCGAAATCTACATTAATATCTCAAAAACATTTTGCTATACTTCCTGATAGTGTTCTAAAAGTGTTCAATTATCAACATTTACCAGTTGGTGGAGCCATCCTACAAGATAACTTGACTTCATGTCTACAGGATTCAACTTTATAAATTTTTCAAGCAGATTTTGAAATAGCTTATTCAATGTGAATGGGGCAAGATTTTCTACTTAAATAATGAGATATTTGTGGGAAGATTTACACTCAAAAGTCTCCTAGGTCATTTCATGTTTGCTGAGAGAATTTTTAAACTTATCTATGGACAAACTACAGTATGATTCAGAAATTCACTTCTTTTCCATGTAAATAAATATGTGGACAGTTCATCTTAAATGTTAGTTTTTTAAAGTTTTGTTTGTAGTTTCTAACTGGTAACTTTCATTGAATTCTTTCAAGTCAACTCTCTTTTGAGAGTCTTATATGCTAAATTTGTTAATATGGACCTGTTTCATTCAGAAATTTATATTTAATGTGCCTTTTGCTGGGGGATGGGAGGGTGGTTATGTTGATATGTTTAAAGGTGGATTGTTCTTGTATTTTTGTGATAGGAGAATTCCAGACTCCTTCAAGAACGTGGAGTGGCCTATATTAATGCTGATTCCTCTACAGAAGGTGAATATAGTAGTCCTCATTAAAAAAAATGATTGAATTAGAGATAGCAATTCAATTTATATCCTAACCAGGAAAGCAACCGTTGAACATTTGTTTAAAAAATATGCTCCTGGTCTGTCTCACTGCTATGTTTAACTCTGGAATGTATGTGTGCCCTAAGAGAGAGAATTTTTTTTTGTTTCATTTGCTTTATACTCTAGAGTGCTGATTCAGGGAAGCAGCATTCTATGATGATAACCTATGCCAGATTATCTTAAACATAGCAGAAATTTATCTAATATCTTTTGATGAGTAAATCAGGAGCATAGTTTTATGATTTAGAATATAAAGTTATTCTCATGATAATACACATATGCTTTTGGAAAAAAATGCTCATTTCCAAGATTTTATCTTTCACCAAATGTTTTTATTTTTAAGTTTTTCTTTAATTCAACAATTAAGTCCAGTACATAACTGAATAATTCTCTGAACTTTTCTAGGAATCCAGGGGAATCAGAGGTTAGGAAGGAATGGTCTTATATTTGAGAGGTCATAGATCACATATATGGTAAAATAAATCAGTCTTGGCTTATAATCAGGTACTAAAAAGGATATTTAATCATTCTGCTCTTGGCAGTTTGAAGAGGAGAATAGTAACTACTTGAGACCAGCAGTAAAAAAGGGAATAAGCATTTGAGACAGATCTTGAATAATTTGTATGCTTTTTTAAAGGCAGAGTCCAACTGAGAGACATTTCTAGTTGATTTTCATGACAATGAAGCAGTCCATTGTCATTGCACTCCACCCCACTGATCCCTTCTGCTCCTTGACCAAAAACAACAGCTGCTGTTCTCTGTACTCAGTTGCTCTTCAACACACTCTCTCTGCTTAATTCTTTTCCTGACAGTCTCCCCTGAAATGTTGCCTTTGAGGGGAGGCCATATCATTGCAGCACTCATCATTGTCACTGTTAGGTAATTACTTGTTTTATAAACTGCCTCTCTGAATAAATAATACACTTTAGCAGTATCTTGCCTGCTTTCTCCTGGATTCTTAATTTCTCATTAAGTAAGTGTTTATGGCATGGTTGCTGAAAGTGAAGAAATAAATAGGTGAAGATTGGCTGGAGTTGAAGCTCAGTGGTAGAGCACCCACCTAGCATGTGTGAGGTACTGTGTTCAATCCTCAGTACCACATTAAAAAAATAAAAAGATGAAGGCATTGTATTATCTAAAAAAAAAAAAGAAGAAGAAGAAAGAAAGAAAAAAGAGAAAAAAGTGAAGAGTGGACTTTTAGAATATTTTCCTTAATGTGTTACAAATTTAGGAGAACAAACTTATTGTAGATTTGCCATGTTAACAATTGGAATACAGTACCTTATTTATCTATCTATCTATCTATCTATCTATTTTTGGCTTCTATTTTTTAAATGTTTAAAATTTGTCCCTTTTAGATATACATAACAGTAGAGTATATTTTGACATATTGTGCATACATGGACTATAACTTATTCTAATTATGGTGTCATTCTTGTGGTTGTAATGATGTGAAGTTACACTGGTTGTGTATTCGTATCTGAACATTGGAAAGTTATGTCCAATTCATTCCATTGTCTTTGCTATTTCTGTTCCCCTCCCTTCCCTTTATTTTCAATTGTCTAATCTACTGAACTTCTGAAATATAGCACTTTGATGGAGTTAGTTTGGCATTTATATTTCTTCTTTGTCCATGTGTCTGAGCTACATTGTCCTAAGTTCATTTACAGGGGTGCATTTCACCTACCATTTCCTCCTCCTCTTGGACTAATGTGATGGCCTTGCCTTTCACAACAGACTTCCTGAATTTATTCCTGGCCCTGCCACTTCCTTCTTATGTGACTTCAGGTTATTGCCTTCTGCATCTATTCCACACTTCTAAATAGATTACTGAGAGTACCTGTCTCCAAGGGTAAGTTCTGAGGCAAAAGGAGTTAATGATGGCAGAGCTCCTAGACTTTCCTTGCAGAGTAAATGTGCAAAAAAATTAATCTTGATTCTTCTTGTTATTATTACTTAAAATATATGAACAGATGAAACATTTTTGCCCTATAGAATGAATACTCCAAACACAGTCTTCAAATAAACAATATTCTTTTCATTGTAGTTTTTAAGATTTGATTTTTCATATATTTATAAAAATTAGTGGGTGGGTTTAGCTGATTTACAGCATCCGCCTAGAATTGCTTTGTTGTAT